GAGGGAAGAGCTGCTTACAATGAGACCAAGAGGGATGACTTAGATGACCACTCCCAAGAAGCTAATGTGGAGGTTGCTTAGAACACTGTCAGTCATATGAAGTACTAGCACCCAGATAAATCCTCATTCAGAAGGCAACATCCTTGCAAAACTAATGCTATGGATAACTTTATTCACCATTCATATAAATGGCTCCTACAAAGCCGGATAAATATGACGATAGTTTTTTTTAATTTGTTTACATGCACTGAATGTAAATAGATACAAGTGCTAGAGTGCATTTTGGATGACTGTGCAAAAAACATGACACTACCATTAGCCATACTGTGAGCAGTAGCCTTACCATGACACTGAAGTGTCTTAAATCACTATTTTCATTGGGTGTCACACTCAGGCAAGGTTCTGTGACCTCCACAGTACCTCCACATGCCTCCACACAAAGCCTTCTTCCTCATCCACTGATCACTGAAGATAGTATTTTTATATTGATTTTTGTTTTTGATTATCTTAGTATAGAAAACAACACCTCAGGGTGAAGAAAAAGAGGTGTTGGCACTCACATAATTATTCTTGCTTAATGTTTAGAAGAACTGTTTGCAAAGATCAAATAAAATTTGGTTTTTATAAGTTATAAAGATTACACACAATTAAGCCAGAAATCAAGCAGTAAACTATTTTATTGAATTCCAGTAAAAACTGCACTATTTAACATTACTATAGTTGTGAAATAAGACACAGGACAAAATTCAAAGTGTAGCTGCTAAGCTCTAATAGCTAGTAAAATCTCATTACCTTCACTTGTAAATATTATAAAATACATTTRGGGTCAGGGATCAAATGTTTGTCATAAAAAAATGTGATCATTGGCCAATAAATACATCACTTCAGGACCTTGAGATTTATCAGTTTGGTGTATACTTATCGAAGAGACAACTTGATCTTGTGCAGTACAAACTGATACTGTTCATTCAATGTGGTCATGTATTAGATTTCTATATAACAACATTAAAAAATGCTTGAAAGGGATGCCCGTGGATCATGAATCTTTAATTATTTCATATTATTGTACATTATAAATTACTACAATCATARCAGCCTATCAACAGGCCATCCATTTGGGTCACCAAGAAACATGAGGCTGAACATAAAATTGAAGAAATTTGGGTAATAACGACAAGCTCTTGCGCAATCTGGGAGAAAGTTGAACTCTAGTATTTGTGGAACCATTCTCTTGGAACCTGCATCAAATTGATAAAAGCTAAATGAAATACCGAAGGAAAAGGTTTTTTACCACACTGCAAATGATTCTCATGCTCTGTGTGTGGTTTATATGTTAGGAGACCTTGAGTCCAACCACCTGCTGTTAAGGCAGGTGAGATATTTATCTTACAGTTTAAATAAAAGACGTCAATAACTTCTTAAATTTAATATTGTCATCATTCACGACCTTCCATACTCAGGTTCAGTGACAACGAACAAAGCATTGAACCGAGGATCACTTCACACAGATCTTTTCTTTTATGCTCATTGTACCTTGACGCCTCGGTTCAATGCTTTGTTCGTGGTCAGTGAACCTGAGAATGGAAAGTCGTGAATCGGTCTAACTTGTAACCTAACGTTTCTCCGTTGTAAAATTTACCCGCATTTACAGTACAGGCTATGATACCTCTTTTCAACCTCCAAAGTTTACTCTTTTAATCAAACAAATAATATTTGATATGGCAGTAGCTACAGGCATTTATACGTGACATAGGATTYACTTACCATCGTCAGCCCACTTCAGCATGATGTCGAGACCAAAAAATGCACTTGACTGTGGATGGGAATAAGTGGGAATTATTTAAAGGAAAAAAATGGATGAAAACGGAAAATACAGGATCAWWGGATTACTGTTTGAATGAATATTGATAAATCCTTTGGATTTTGTGACCAACTGAAAACGTTTCGGACTGGATGACAATTCGTCTACATGAATGAATAATGAAGACTTGAATCAATACAACTGGAGAATAATGCGATGAAATAGTTGCGACAATGTAGTTGTATATTAAACGTCTACCGTCTACCGCGCTATACTACTCTACTTCGCACCCATAATTTATAGCTTAGTTTCATTCGCTTCTCTCATCGTTTTTTTTAATAATCACCCACGTTCAAAATGATAGTTAATTCTCAATCCTTTCACAGCGTTTATTTTATTGACAAATTATGTGAAAATGTTTCGTTGGGCTTTCGTTGAATTCATAAGCAGTAAGAATGACTTTTTTATTAGAAAAACCGAAGCAGCTCAGCCTTTTTTATGGATATTAAATAATAATCCATTTTGTTTCCTGACGTTCGCAGTTATTTGTCGTGGCCTGAACACCCGCATTTCCATTAAATAATTATATGGAATTATTTTCATCTTGACTTCGCCATACTATGTTTGGTCTTGACGCACAAAATTAGCTTGTATCTTAAAAACATAGTGTGTTGAAATCAAGATGAAAATAATATCAAAGTCTTGCGAGGCCAGGGGCCTCCTGTGCGAGGCCAAAATACTCATAATATCAAAGAATTATATGGAAATTGCGCGCTTTTAAATAATGAATTTTATCTTACATATATGTAATATCACTGAGGAATTATAAATAACCCTTTTTCAATGTAAATGAAAACTAAAATTCCGTAAGATAAAATCAATACGCCCTAAAGGCTCATTTCTTATACATTGATAGTTTGTGCAGATTGCCCTGAGGTTGGAGGCTGTGGTTTCCACAAACTAATGCATAAACCGCGTCGATAATGGAATAGTATACTAAAAGGTCCGTCGAGCATACCTACCAACCTTTATAGGGAGTCCCCTCCCCTCGGGCACTGTGCTATTTCGGTTTCAGCTTCTCTATTCTGCGACTCTGAACTCAACGTTTCATTTATATACATTTGGATAAAAACGCTATACATATACTATCCTGTTTTTCGAGGATTGACTACTTTCAGACGAAAATCGTGTATTGATAAAGGTCGGTATGAATAATAAAATACAATGTCGCCAAAACATCGAAAGCGAATGAAAAAAAGCAACCACTTTTTTCATGCATGACGTCGTATGAAATCTCATGAATTATCTAATATTTACTAAAGGATTTGAAGGTGGCACATCGAAGTGACTAAAAATCCTGCAATTTTGTTTCTAGCTCTCAATTATTAATGATAAGACGTCATAGGCAAATACGCGTCAAGTGGTAACTATGGGTTACCAGCTGCAGCATTAATATTCAAATTGTTTTAAGCTGTCTTTCGCTTTTTTCCGGGTCAAAATACACAGACACTCGCTAGTGCGAAGTCGCTTGCTTCTTGTCTTCAAAGCAGAACATAACTGGAAGTTCTCTGTGGCATTCGGAGTCAAGATACACGAATACTTGCTCTGGGAGCTCTGGGAGTTTAGTACTGCCCGTTCACACCTCATTAGGGTAAAAGAGATAGAAATTACGCTCGCGGTTCTATATAAACTGATCATTCACAGCTTAAATAACTATATCCCTGACCTTTGGGTAGTATACAAACGGCTTGGCGTTTGTAAACATTTTCTCGGCGTTTTAAAGCAGAGATTAGAGGCGAAAATATCATTGCTTCAAGCGGCCATCAGCATGAATGTATCGCACACTTCAGAGCCTGTGGTCTACGACTACAAACTGATGTAYACTACAGAAGTGTTTACCATCATATTTCTGTATATTCTTGGTCTTTTGACGACGGCTTTGAACGCGTTCACTTTGTACGCTATATATAAAGATCCTATGAACTGTTTTCGCACTCCGTTAACTACATTCATCACTGGAATTGTTMTTTCGGATTTACTTACAGGAATGATCGTGGAGCCTGCAGTCGCATCGGTCTACGCAATGAGCCACCTAAGCTACAACATAACTTATCAAGCTTACCGAAGTCTTCTACGAACGACGCAAACACTCGCCTTAATAACAATTAATACATCCTTTTTAACCTTTCTAGCKCTGGCGATAGCTCAACTTTTAGCGGTTGGCTGGACTGGTGTTTACGAAAGACGTGTTACAACCAAAACCACTAAAATCACCATCTGTATCATTTGGTTGTATTCYTTCTTGTTCGCTTTAATTCCCGATCTTGCAAGAGTTCCCCTTAGAGATTTTTTCGCATTGGATTTGATAATTCATACYACAATAGTAACAGTTGTTTTGATAATTATCTACATTGCTACCTATATTGTCTTCAAAAAGAAGTTAAGTCCCTCGTTAGAARCCGAGCAATCTCCCGAGCAAGGTCATCGCCGAGGCAATAGGGGTATGCCAAAAGTCGAACGAGAGTTCCTCAAAGGAACTTTTTTTCTRACYTGCATTCTCATTGTAACTGTCCTTCCTTATACAATTGCCTTGTACATCTGGATATTTGGGAAAAGGCGAAACTTTGCAACTTTAGTAGAAAGATATGTTGCCGTGATCATATGTGAAGATATCCTCTTTTTGAAGTTCTTATGGGACCCTGCTATMCTTATATTAAGGATTCCGACGTATCGTAAATCGGTTGTAATGGTGTTTTCTGGTGTTCTTGCCGGGAATAATGCAGGGGGAATTGTAGCTTATAATCGCCATGCWGATGAACAAACAAGAGCAGAAGACTTCAGCCCAGAGACGACAGTTGTGGAGAATATCCGCGAGGATAGAGAAGAAAGAGAAGTTAAAACATGAGTGTGAGAGTAGCTTGATGACTGCCCTTTCCTTGACGATAAAGAACTACTTATACTTATACTACTTATTAGCAGAACTCTAAATCGTCCTCAATTATCAGTGAAAAGGAGAAGGATTTTAAAGCAGTTATCATTATTTGGATAAAAAAGTATTTTAACAATGTGCAGAAAAKTTCTATTATATAGACTTTTAAAGAGAGCTTAAACGAAGCAAAATACCAAACAGAAATACTTCGTGAACAATTCAACAAGGTGGAAAAACAAGTAACTTGACAGGAAGRGGGCGTGGAAGACGCTGAAGGATTAACATTTGTATAAACTGATGCGAAAAAAAACCCTGGTATTAAGGATATGAAAATAATGGAAATTTCAAGGAAAAAGAGGAAAAAAAACATTAATGTCAATGAATTAAACATAATGCAATATGTTAGGATAAAAAGTGGAAGACAAAAGCTGAAAAGCAGACAAAGACAAGGATTTGTAAATTCAAATAATGCGATTTTCATTCAAAGAAAAAAAATATGAATAATTTCAACCACTTGACAGCTGGTTGCAGGCACTAGACTCAGCTTTCATTTTCAATTAAGTTGAGATAATAGCCAGCAACTCTATCCTAAAGCCTGACAAAATAATCCTTTTTGTCGCCAATGAACCAAGGGAACACAGCACATTTGATAGCTCAAGTAATTCCCATTGTTTCTCTATTATTTCGCTTGAACCGACTTCWGACACATGAGAAATTCACCGTATAAAGCAAAACGACTTTTTAGATTGATTAAGTCGTAGAATTTTAGATTGGAATATAGATGAAATTTAGAATATGCCTCGGCAGATCTTAATCAATATTGTAAATCATATGATTGTAAATTAAAAACGTTCAAACTCCAGAATTAAAGAACTGAAACGACTCGTGACAAACAATATTTTTGGGGGGTTAATTAAAATTGTTATCACTCAAGTTTCAGCCTACAAATTAAAAAGTACTTTATATACAATSAAAGAGAAAAGGTCRTTTTGAAAGGATTTCATTTTCCTTCTCTTTATAAGTGGGAGTGGGAGGGGTACAACCGGTTYTACTCAGTATTTGCTACTGTTTGTCTATGAAAGCTTTCAGTTTATACTTAGCAAAAATGAAAACGGAAGCACCTCCAATTGTTATTTTGGTTATTTTTCAAGTTGTACATTAACTATCTAACTATAAGACCAGAAAGTCAAATTGACTACCAAGCAATATCCCATTCACTTCCATTCATTCATTTGTTTATCCATTTAAATAATAAATTATGCGGGATCACTGTGTAATACTCACATGTTTATAGTTGCCCAGTCCATTTGGCGGAGGCTYTTTAACAGCAGCTTGGATTATTTCTTTAAACATTTTGAACAACTCAYGCTAAAACATAATAAAAAAGAGAAATTATTACATTCTAATGAACAAAGAGGTACAAGCGCGCACGTAATTATGCGCGTCCAGTTGCGTATTTTAGCCGCTTGTATGTTTTTACGCTACATAGGRTGCTTCAACACAGATAATGGAAACTAACAACTGTTGCGTATTTTTACGTAATCTTTCCACGAACCTCTACGTTATCGTAAGTGTAGTCTGGATATTGTGCGTCCCACATTTTCATGAATTCGTCATGGTGTATCTGAACAACAACAACAACGAAAAATAGACATTGAAGCTTGATTCACATGAGCGACTCAAATGTAATAAAACGAAAAAAAATTTCATGTCTTGCGTTTGCGCTTTATACATCAAATTGAAGTAGGTTGTCACTTTTATAACATGAATCATATGCATGGTATACTTATTAATAATTGAGGCAGACCCAGAGAAAATGTCATTATATATCATTCCCATTTAGTTAGGAAATTCAAATTTTCAAATTCTACCATTATTCTACAGAACCTTGAAATGACTGGAAAAATGTTGACAAAAAGCATTATATATCTCTAAATAGAGTGGACTGGCCGGCCARTTCTGCCTAAATGGAAAGCACCCCCAGTTTCAATTCCCAGTTTGACAACTAGCTGAGGCTAGCCATGCTTGTAATATAGCCAACTGGTTCACCTCCTAGCAAGTTGGGATTCTTATCGACTTATTGTTGTTTATAATTTGTGTCTTGAGTTCTGGCAGCTCCTGTATTAGCGAAATTGATCGTTTTCAACCATTTCCATGAGATTCAAAAATTAAAAGAGCGGCGGCCATGTTGGAGGAATGAACAATAGATACTAATGAGGAATCCTTTGTTAAAGTTCCTCCAAGATGGCCGCTGTGACGTAACTTGACAACGAAGAATACACTTCTGTGTTCAGCTAAGTAAGCGGGCAACCACGGCGTTTAACAAAGCTTATTTTGTTATTTCCTTTCATTTGGTTGGTGATGTTAGGAAGGGTGTCAGCACCATTAAGGGGAACAACTACTCTGCGCTCTTGAAGAATCTCAAGAATAGATTGGAATGAAGATTTGAATCATTATCAATACCTGTTTCAGTTCTGTTTTTCTATAGTTCATCACTGTAAAGTGTTTTTCGTAGTCGTGYAAGTCCTCAAGGCTGAATTCTCTGAAAACAACCAATATCCATCATTATTTCTACAAAATGTATCCTCGCTCTGGTCAACAGCAAATAGTCCAAAAAACTATAAGGTCACGTTTGTGAGCTGTATGCGTTTTACCCAACGAATTGATCGTTTTCAACCATTCCCATGAGATTCAAAAGATAAAAGACCGCCGGCCATGTTGGAGATATGAACAATAGATACTAATGAGAAATACTCCAAAATGGCCGCTGTGACGTACAGTGAAAACGAAGAATGATAATATCAATTAATATTAATATTAATCATCTTTACCTATTTATTATTATTATTATTATTATTGATGAACAGGCTATTCGTCATCAACTTACTTGTTAGCAAATCTTGTCCAAAATATTCTGTCAACATAAAGTTCTATTGGGTCCACTGAGCGCAAGAATAAATGATAACGAAGATCGAACTTTACATATCCTACATCATCGCGATGAAATAAGACTTGCTTGTCGATGTATTTGGATGCRATCTTGAAGAAAGAAAGTAMAAAKGTCTWGCAAAACCTCCATAAAAGAAATGATATAATTGGATGATTAAAAAAATCGATAATTTTAGCTTTTAGTGAATGCAAAAATATTAATAATGTCACTACAAAGTTCCATAGAAGAAATGATGTGATTGGGTGAAAAAATTAAGGTTAGCCTACTATAACTATTCCCCTAGGTGTTATCTTTAGTTGGTTGTTTGGTACTCACTTTAGGTCCAGTCTCAGCCATGCGAATTAAATGATTTATATTTTTAGTTAARTGTAGATCCAGTCCTCTTCCCATATTCCATGGCTTAACAAGCCAGTGGTTATCTAGACCTCTGAAAAAAAAACACCTTAGCTTGAATCAGGGGTCAGTTGTATGAAGGATGGATAATGGTATCTAAACCATAGATTTTGATATGAATTTTATCTGGTGGATAATGATTTATTTAGGGTATAGAGCTATCACTTTTCACACAACTGGCCCCTGGTGTGCACATACACATAGTAAAAAAAAATGATTTTTACTTAGTAGTATATCATTTAAAATAAATGGAAATGAGAATTAATAAAAGTTTAGGAAATGGATGAATGAAGAAAATCATGAAAGCATAAATGGGATAAATAGAGAATTGAATGACTAAATGGATGGATTAATGAACTGGGAATGGATGGGTGGATAGATAAAGAAAGAAATGGATGGAAGAATGTTTCAATTAATCAAATTAAAACAATGAGTAAATAGTATACTAAACAAGTAAATAAATCAACCTTTTCTCTCTCCTTTTATAATGCTGTATAAACTTGGGCAGCTCAGTATTTAAGTTGAATGTCACAGGTAACCAGTAAGGTCCTCTACAYAATAATTCATCATTTTCAAGTTCTTTAAATTCCTCATGTTTAAAACCCGATCTCTGACACACTTCTACAAGTTGATCTTTACAGTTCAGAAGATAATCAAATGGAATTTGGTTAATCATTTGTCCTTTTTGCTCAAGACTCCTAAAATGATATCAAAGAGTTTTAGTTATGTTATTATGAGTTTTAAATTAACCAGTAGTCTTGTCAATGGTAGACCCAGGGGGGGTTGTCGACGTCTTAGTATCCAAAGTACGTTTTAACACAGGAAGCCCAATTACATCAAGCAATTTGTCTTTCACTTTAGTTATTACTTACATGTATTCTAAATGCCTTCTTTAAAGAAAAAATCTTACCCGTATCTT